TGGGGATATACTCCATTCATAGTGATATTATTTCACACAATAAAATGAAAATGAATTTAATTGAATAATCCAAAAAGAATTATGAGTGTAAAATAAAATATTCAAAAAACGTGCTCAGTAACAAAACAGCTGTTTGAGATCAAACGACGCTTTTCATCAACTGTTAGATGAGAACTGATTATGTGGAATATTTTTATTTATAAATATACCAACTCTGCCTTATGTCTTGAATGATATTTAACTGATTCACCGGGAGAGATAAACGTAATAGGAGTGATTTATAAATCAAGATTGTCTGTCGCAGATCTTCTCGCAGTTATTTGTGCTAGTTTATTCGGTTTGTGTTTTTTTCAACGGAGATACATTCGGAGATAAATGTATTGAGTACTTTTTAAGAGTTTTTTGTTGTTTTCTTTGCGATGCCATTTGTTTTTGTATTGGTTGTATCATTTGTATACCCTTCACCACTCTGTGCAACAAGGTATTATCGTTCCCACGACAATCGGATCTACGCTCCGGAACGACCCGAGTTCGACTCGGCCAGGGATTGCCAACTCAGCGACAGCTGTACAAAACGAAAGTTTTTTCCACAGGTGAGCAATTCATGTCGGCAGCTTTGCTCGCCATTCTTTTAATCCGTGCCGGCGTTGAACAAAACCCAGGCCCTGATGTCTGGTTTTGTTCAGTGTGTCATCAACGCATCGCTGCAAATTCCACCTCTGTGCGATGCAATGTTTGCAACAATTGGTGTCACCTGAGGAGGTGCTCAGGTCTCACCTCACACCGCGACTGGTCACGCAGCTTCATTGCCAGCTGTTGCCTGCAGCCTTCGACATCTAGCACCTTAACTCCAACAGCCCCGAGAAATTCCATCCTTTCTCAGCAACCTGCCCAGAACTCCAAGTGGTACTGTTCGGTTTGCGGGGAAATCATACGGAGAAATATGACATCTGTAAGGTGCAACGGTTGCAGAAACTGGTGTCATATGAGAAGATGTACCACCCTGCGTTCACACAGGAATTGGAATCCAGGCTTTGTAGCCGATTGCTGCACTAACAATCCAGCAATATCCGCTAGAATCCAGTGGAGTCCTTCCAGTACTACGGCTATAGCACTCCGTCTAGTTTTCCATCCAGTAGTACTGCTACTAGTGTGAGTACTAGTGGTAGAGCTAGTTATTCCGTTAGCTCTTCCTCCAGTTCTGCTGCTAGCTCCCCGGCTAGTTTTCCGTTAAGCAGAACTCCTACCAGTTCCAATGCTGGTAGTTCCACTAGTTATTCTACTAGTGATTCGCGTACTACGGCTAGCACTCCGTCTAGTTCTCCATCCAGTAGTACGACCACTAGTGCTCATACTGGTAGTGAAGTTAGTTATTCTACTAGCTTCTCTTCCTATTCTACGGCTAGTACTCCGTCTAGCCATTCATCAAGTAGAATTCATTCCAGTGTTCCGACTAGCACTCCTTCTAGTCATCCTATTCCAACAACGAATGCTCAAAACTTCCCATCCAGAAAACAGCGTTACAGGCAGGTTTTCCGTTCGCCGAATAACTCCACCCGCCTGCCTCCACAGCAGCAGTCCATGCAGGGGAGTGATCCAAATACCGCATTCCTAATCATGCAATTTAATTGTAATGGTCTTAGGAATAAGGTAATTGAGATCACAAATTTCATGCATGAAAACAACATCCTCATTGCTGCCTTGCAAGAGACGAAGCTGACCAGTAGTTGTTCCTTATCCTCCTCCGGGAATTACAATATCATTCGGCGAGACAGAGATAGAGACCATGGCGGGGGACTCGCATTCATCATCCAGCGAGATGTCAGATATACTCTGACTACCCCTCCGTCTCCTTCCCAGTCTGATCCTTTCCTGGAGGTTTTGAGCATTTCAGTTCATTCCGACGATGCTGAAATTGAAATTGTCAATGTATATATTCCGCCCGTCAACGCTCATCATGCAAACGCTCATTGCAAACCAGATAGACGAGTCCGATTTCGCTTCCATCAATGAGGAATCCTCTACCAGAGTCACTGCCAGTTGTTCGAGCTCTCCGAACATTTCCATCGTCAGTTCATAGCTCCTTCCATATACTTCCTGGCAAACCAAGGTCGCTTTAAATTCAGACCATATTCCCATCCTGGTCACGGTAGAGAAACCCAGCGATTTCGTGGAGCCCGATCAGCGTACTTTCATGAATTATAATAAAGCCAACTGGCACGGCTTCACAAAATTCATTGAAGACTCCTTAAGTCCTATGCCGCCACCAGAAAGGGTGAGAAGATTTTACGAGAAATTATTCAAAAAGCGGCAAAACGCTTTATTCCTGCGGGCAGAATTCCTCTAATGAGACCAAATTATCCATCCAGGGCATCCAGATTGGCACAGCGACGCAACCAACTCCGTGCCGAAAGCCCCGCTGACGACAGAATTCCGCAGCTTAGCGCTGAAATAGATGGTCTAGTCCTTGAGCACAGGCGCTCTAAATGGTTAGAACACCTTAACTATTGCAACATAAATGCCAAGCAGCTATGGTCCACAATTAAGAGTCTATCTGGTTCCAAAATAAATAAAAATCTCCCTGCTATTTCCTTCGATAACATTCAACATTCCGATGCCAAAAAATGTGCAATGCAGTTCTGCCGCCAATTCATTGAGCATCCATCTTCGCAGAACAGGACCAAGCGAGCAGCCACTATCATTTACATCCAGCGAGGTAGAGGCAATTATCTCCAAATCCAAACCATCCAAAGCCCTTGGTCCAGACGGCATATCCATGTTCATGTTAAAGAAGCTTGGAGCAATAGGGCTGGGCTATCTGACCAAAGTCCTCGAGTTATCGATGTCACGGTTGGTAATTCCTGACATTTGGAAAGTTGCCCGGATTATTCCAATCCTAAAACCTGATAAATCCGCTACTAATGGGGAATCCTACTGCCCGATTTCTCTTCTGTCACCAGTAGCCAAGGTTTTAAAGCCTCTATTGCTTCCGTCCCTGAAACAGCATTTCGTTCTTCCTGCCCACCAACACGGTTTCAGGGAATCATATAGCACAACAACGGCTTTGCAAGAAATTACTTCCAAGATGGCCTCAATCAGCGACGACCACCTGAACGGACCACTGTGGCAGCTCTAGATCTGTCCAAGGCGTTTGATACGGTCGATCATTCCGAGCTGATTTCTGATATCACAAATTCCACCCTTCCATGTGATATCAAACGTTGGCTTGCCAACTACCTTAATGGGCGGCAGGCCTTCGTTGAGTTCCGTGGCCAAAAATCCAAATATCGCAAGATCAAAATGGGAGTTCCGCAAGGCGGTGTCCTTTCTCCCATTTTGTTCAACATGTATCTTGCGAAACTCCCCATTCCTCCACCAGATGTTTCAGTGGTGTCGTACGCCGATGACTGTACGATTATTTCGTCCGGCGTTAACATTGACGACGTAAGTGCAAGAATTTCCAACTATCTAGCCACCATCACCAACTTCTTACGGGAACGCAATCTAAAATTATTCAATTGTCCGTCCGAGCCTACGAGTCTATTGCCCATAGACTTATGGCTAAAGCCAATAGAGGTGGCACAATTTCTCCGGCTACCCTCTTCAAATCCGAATTCCTAATTAATTAATATATTTTCCTTTTCCTTTCGTTTTCTTCTATCAACATTTTTCAGGAAAGAACTTTCGTCAACAGCCAACCTGTTACAACAACAACAAGGTATTATGTATTTGTGATTATTTTTGTAACAAGTGGCCAATATTTGATAAACTTGTAAATTTTATTTGAAGCAAATTGAATAAACGATTTGATATAATATCCGAACATTAAATCCGAAACCTCTTTGATAAAGACTTGTACCTTATATAAAGACATATACCAAAATAAATCAAAAAGGAAATACGAAGTAATGAAATCATAAATTTGCTATAATACAATGTTAAGTTTAATTTAAAAACAGACGTAAGGGGGCATCTTTGAAAACTTTGTGCTTTCCAACCTCATATTTTATTTTATATTTTTATAATTATTGCTTTTTTTGTAAATTTTAACAGATAGATACAGATGTAACCTTTACACTGATATGCATACTTTAAGTTCGATTTAAATACTGTATTACTGTTTTAATGGACGATAGACAAGATTGTCATATAAAAAATATTAAAAAAAAAATCTTACCTTGCAATTGAATTATCCTTGCGAATAGAACGTCTGTCGTCTGAAATAAGTTGAAATAAAATAATTAATGGGGGCCATACGTATCAATAAAGAAACTTTTTTTCTAATACAGTAAAATCTCGCAGTAAATCTTGCAGACCACTATCCAGATAGCCAAATTTTCCCGACTATCAAGGTTTTTAAATTTTTAATTTATTTTTTTTAATTTAATTTTTTGTTTAATTTAGTGATAATTTAAATTGTTTCATGTTATTAAAAAAAAAACTAAAAGTATTCATTGCAAAAATATGAACTTTAAATATAATAGATACGATTTTTACTAAAACTCATAAAAAATAATAGTTCCAGAACCTAAAATAATCTACTAATTTTACAAGTTTTCCAACTTTTTACTCGAAAACCGTTCCAAAGAGAGCACAAAAAATGGCTTTCTCTTTGTAAAAATGGTAAACAGGGTTGCCAACTTCTGATTGGCTGTTACGTCGATTTTGAAGTATTGCCATATAATTTTGGCATATTTACTAGATTTGCGTTCCCGAACTTTTCAAATTATTTTGTACTCTGAGAGCGATTTTGAAATGTTTCCTTTTTACTAGCTTTATTATTAAAAAAGTACTGAAACAGACCAAATGCAACTCTTCAGTACAAAAGATGAGTTCTAAAATTTTAGATATTTTTGCATGACACATGTTATTCATATCTTCTTTCTTAGTAAAAAAAAAAGTTTCAACCCAATTGACATTTTTCGTATGAGTAGAGTATGACGAAATATTTAATATTCTGCACATTTCATGCACTTGTTCAGTTTTGCATATTGGAATACTTATTGATGGTATTTTATCATTATCGCATTATCGATAACACTATCATCACCCACATCGTCAGGATCCACAACTTGAAGTGAAAGAAAATAGTTTTGATTCACAACTCTCTGAGAAAAGTTATTTGGATTTTGTTTCTATGCGGGGTTTTACACTATTGGTGATTGGGATTGGTGTTGGGAGTTTTTTCTCTCTCATTGGTAAATTGTCAATAGAGTTGGAAAACATTGCCATAGGTAGGGAGGAAAAAGTAACTAAAGTTTTACTTCAAATGATAAATCATAATTATCGAGAAATATTGGTCAATATTTATACCAGTTATTTGCATAAATAATATATGTTATAATTTAAGCGTAAATGTATTCACGAATAATAAATAAATCTACTTCTTGTTTTGGTACGTTTATGTCAATTCATACCTTTTGTAAACAAAAAGTATGCTTGTTACAAAATTAAAAATAGCGCAACTAGCCGTTGGTTAAGCGGCTCATCAGCCATATTGGGCAATGTGGCTTACAAATGTCGTTACTCTATATGTAGAATATTGTTGCGAAATTGCATCTACGAATTAAATTCTACCGTGTCAAGGTTGGGACATTTGGCATCACATCTCTTTTCAGAGCAGATTTTTTTCTTCCATGGTATACAAGTGCATATTGAGCAAGCTTATGGTGAAAAGGAGGTGGCTTTGAACGCAAATATAATTAAAATAAAAATAAATTATATAATTAACACGAAATGATAAAGTAAACAATTAGCGAATTCACAAATGGTTGTAAATATACAACCCTTTAAAATTTACTAGGGGGTTTTTAAAAGGTCTTCAATGACTATTTACAAGCATTTGTGAATTCCGCCATTGTGAATATTTAAAGAGAGTATATACCTTTTTTTTCTTCTCGTGGTTCATCATTTATTCGTCTGTTTCTCCAATTTGTTTCCATTGGCTCATTTTTGACAGTATTTTCCAAGTTCATTTTTTCTACATTTTTAGTTAGAACATCGGAAACGCTTTGTTTTGTGTCCATTTTCCTTATTTCAGACAAGCGCTTTTCAATTTCTAAGTCCCTTGCGGTAGTGTCAACTGGTTTAGCTGAGCCAAAAATTTTTTCGGCCGTTTTTTTGTCATCAACTTTTGATTCACTGTTGTTCAACGAAATATCTTTTTCGGGTAGCGGTAGGGTGCGTGGTTTCAAATTTAGACGTGGCCGCTCAGCTATTATGTTGTTCCTATTCTCAGAGTGAAAGTGTGTATTACTGCTACTTTTACTATTCGTGTAGTTTTGAGATCGCCAAGAACTTCCAACACCAGACGAATTTTGTGGTTTTAAGTCAAATCCTCTGTCATTTAAATCATTTCTTGGTTTTTGGCGCCTCCAATCTGTATTGTCTTCATCATTATGTGTTTCGTAATTTCTTCTTGGCCCATGTTTATGATCGCTGTCATTAGATAACTCAATTCTAATTCGACGACCTTTTATTGATGGATCTGGCAAACTTAGAGCTTGAATTAAATCATCCCTTGTCTCAAATTCAATATACCCATATCCTCGAAGCCTGCCGGATTCACCATCTTCTCGTGGTAGCCGAACAGAAATTATATTAGTATTATTAAAAAAATCATATACATCATCATCAGTTGTGTCAAAGGGCAGATTGTTTACATATGCTATAAAGGGGGGCTTATGGGGAACGTTTGTATGGTCATACACTCTACTTGCACGAGGGGCCGTGGGAAGTTGACAAACAACAGTAAGTACGTTGCCTCCGTCGTCACTGTCTTCTCCATCTAAATTTCGTAAATTTTTAGCAACTTGAGTTACACCTAGGGGTGGTTGATCTCCATCAGATAAGAATGACTGTAATGACAAGACGGTTCCCTTAGTTTTCTTATTTTTCTTTCCTACAAAGAATATATAAAAATGTATTGCATTACTTAGTTATGTTAGATTTAATGTTAATAAAAATATACATTTATTGATTGTAAGAATGTTCGTGACTTATCTACTAAAATTAAAAAAAAATCTACCAAAAAACTCAATGGGACCGGACAATTTCTTTATTAGTTATTTTTTTGATTTTTTTATAATTGTATACACATGTACAGAGATAAAATGCAAAAGAAAAACAGTTTTAAAACATACAAAATATATAAAACAAACAAATATTCAATTTAACATTGTCAATTTACGTTTTGTCAGAATAGTCATGCTGAATCCCAGTTTGTTGTTTTTATAAAAAAAAAAACTATTATTGAAGTTTATATTATAATAATATTATAGGACACATTTTCATAGTTTTCATATATTTTGTAGCGACTCTTTGAATAATCACATTGTAGACATCTTTGAATAATCACATTGTATGACTTTTGCAAGTCATAATTGTTCGGAATGTTGCGCCACTTATCCAATATTGCAGTTTTTAATCTTATTTATTTTTTGATAGTCTAAATATTTAAAAGCTAAGTCTCCCGCGCCTTTTCTTCATATCCACCCCAAATCATTAATGAAATTTTTCCAAATTAGATTGTTGGGATGATTGTTTTTAGTGCTTTTAAAGGCTTGCGCCATACTCTGGCGCATCTGAAAACATTTCCGACAATTCGACCACAATTTCCCCAACTGCGTCTGTAATATATCAAATGAATTGCATCAAAGTATACTTTTTTGCCTCCCTTGTTTTTAATACTCATTTCAAGGTATGTTGCGAACGCTTACAATTTTGTTATCAGATTATTTTCAATATAGATGAAAAATCAATTCGTTAAGAGAGATATGAAATTATAGATATGCAACCCGAACAATATATTTTTAGTTGAATTTGGAAAAGTAATGGTAGTTTTTCTTTTTGTTGTCCATTTTCGCGTAGAGAGTCACTTGGGCATATATTTATTAGTTTTATAGTGTCATTTGTAAAAAGTGTGAACGCTGTTAGCTAAAACAATATCAAACAAAGTTTGTCTTCTAACTCCATCGAAACATTTTGTATCCGTCACGCACATGTTACATTTCTCCTCAATAAGTTGGTTTAGAACCGGATTTACAGGCAAAAATTTCGTGACGATTGGTCGATAACTGCATAATGATATACTAAAGGTCTTGGTGTCACACAAAGCTATAATACCCTGACAACATAGTTGTGTGGGGTATAAGAGTTAGCATATTTAAAACATGCTGTTTTGAATTTAATTTTTTAGTACATGTGTGTAATGGTGCGTTACGAGTATAACATATGCGTGACGGTGTTCAAAGTTAAAAATATATATGTTAGAAATTATTTTCTCAAAAAAATGAAATGTCAATATAATCTTGAAATTTTTAAAATTTTCATTTGTTGGAAAGATCTGTGACATAGATCTTTTTTTCCAATTAACACATATTGTTGATAAGTGTTTAAAATTCCTTTTATGATACTTAATTTACAGAATATTGAGCAGTTAATGGTGTTTTTACACGATATGTATTTTACATATGTGCTGTCACTTATTTCATCCATATGTAATTCCTTATGTGTGTCAAAATTAGCAGTGTACACAAAACATTTATTTTTGTGTTCAAATCGGCATATGTATTTTACATATGACATAACCTATAAACAAAAAAACACTTTTATTTTTTCTTAAATCAACATAATTTTTTTATTAAACACCTACAAACGAAATAATAATTTGTAATTGTTGCCTTTTCATCCTTTTCTTTGAATTGCAATTGAAATATTTTCTTCCAACAATGTGTTTCATTCAAACAGCTGATTTCCTAATGTTTCACATACGAAAATAGAGCGCGTCCTATTCGGAAAAAAATACATATGTAATTGCATATCGTTTTGACACATTGAAATTTCCGTATGTTTCACATGACGAGTTCGATTTCCATATGTAAAAAAGTGACAGCACATATGTAAAATACATATCGTGTAGAAACACCATAAGTATTTTGTCGGCTATGTCAAAAATAGTTGAGCATATTAATGAATGCTTTTGTTGAGTTTCTTGGTGACCATAAGTGTTTGAGGAGTTCTCAGTTTGGGTTTCGGCATGGATGTAGTACGTGCGCCTTCGGGGAGCAGAGCTGAATGCTAACGGACGCGTCCCCAGATTGCGTATAGTGGGTAGCCCAATAATATTCATTGGGTAGCTGTGAATTAAAAATAAACAGTCGCGGACAATCAGCGGGCTCAGGGGGAGTCTCGAAGGAAATGACCGAGTGTCTATGATTCTGCATCACTGTAGAGCAGCAGCTGCTGAACTGCTACTCACCCTCTCTTCCTCAAATACGGACATCGCGCTCATCCAGGAACCTTACCTGTATAAAGGTAAGGTGACTGGCCTGGGCGATAAAAAATACATGGTTTTGACTTCCTCCAATGTAGAGAAGGTAAGAACGTGTATTCTTGCCAAAAAAAGAGCTTAATATAATGCTTCATTCTAATTTCAGCAATGGAGATATGACGAGTCAGACTGGATAGTGGTACCTCGAAGCACCTGATAGTCTCGCCCGTCTATCTCCCCTACGAGGCTCCTGATCTAATGGCTCCTAATGGAGGAGATGGGCAAAGTTGGTGATATCATCATCGGATGTTACGCCAACGCACATCACTTCCACTGGGGAAGCAGTGACACTAACACAAGAGGTGAGCCCATTTTTGAGTTTATACTTAGCTCTATCTTAGAATTTGTAAATAGGGTGAGAGGTAAAGTCATAGACATAACCCTCACAAATATGGACGACTCTGGGGTCATGAACTGGGAGGTGTCTGAGAAATGCTCCTTTTCGGACCATAGGCTCATATCCTTGCAGATTCCTACCTCTAGAGGTAAACAAAAACCTTACCTCGGAAGACGAACTGGGACAAATTCAAAGCTAAAACAGCAGTCTCGATCCGCTGTGAACAATGTCACGGCCACTCTTCTGAAGAGCTATGAGGCTTCTTGTCCCCTAACATACCCTGGGAAAAAATCTCAGCCGGTATGGTGGTCAAAAGACCTTGCAACCCTGCGGAAAGCTGCAAGGAAAGCTAATAATAGAGCTAATAAGACAAAGCTCAGTGTAGATTGGGATGTTTATAAAAGACAATTCAATAGGTACAAGGGCGAAATCAAGAAGGCTAAACGTGAGTCTTGGGTCTGTTATAGTGAGTCAATCGAAGTCAACGAAGCGGCCAGATTCCGCAGAGTACTGTCTAAGGATCCAAAATCCATATGGAGTATTAAGCGAAGTGATGGAACGTGGACAAACTCTGGTAGTGAGACTCTTGATCTTCTATCATCAACCCACTTTCCTGGTTGTAAGGACTATAGGGAGGATGCGCAGTGTGTGCATCATCCTACAATTCGGACGAGGGAGGAGGAGAAGTTTATAGAAGATACTATATGACACCCAAAACTGATATGGGCGATAAACAGTTTTCAACCCTATAAATCTCCTGGCCCAGATGGTATAATACCGGTCATGCTGCAACACGCAGATGAACGAAAAATATCGTCTCTGCAGGACATTTTGCTTGTTTACTTCTGTCGTACATACCAAGTCCATGGAAAGAGCCGGGAAGCCGAGTCATACGTTACCAAAAGGCTATAGACCGATTAGCCTTTCTTCCTTTTTACTCAAGATTTAAGAAAGGTTACTAGACTCAGAAATTAGGAACACTATTGACCATAGTAAACTTAGCAACTCCCAGCATGCATACATCAAAGGCAGATTAGTGGATACAGCCCTGCATGAGGTGGTTGGATGTATCGAGAAGAATATGGAGTCCTCTGGTTACACTTTGCCAGCATTCCTCGATATCGAGGGAGCTTTCAACAATGTGAAAATAGAGGCCATCCATTCTGCTCTCGTAAGCATAGATATCCCCTCACTCCTTACGGAATGGATTGATAGAATGCTGGAAAGCAGAATTATCAACTCATCCTTAGGAGAGAGTTCCGTGTTCCACAACAGGTAGGAGTACTATCTCCCCTTTTGTGGCTTCTGGTGATAAATGAGATACTTATGAAATTCTATGATCTCAGGATAAAGGTTGTAGCCTATGCTGATGATGTAGTCCTGCTGGTTGGGGGTAAGTTTCTAACGACAATTTCAGACTTCCTGGAGGGTGCCCTTTCAACGCTGTCTAATTGGGCTTGCACCAAAGGTCTTGGTGTAAACCCCACTAAAACCGAATCGGTGCTCTTCACTATGAAGCGCAAAATTCCTAGTTTCCGTCTGCCATCACTTGTAGGGGTGACTTTAACCCTTTCTGATGAAGCTAAATATCTTGGCACCATCCTACACCGCAAACTATTGTGGAATAGAAATGTTGAGGAACGCTCCAAGAAGGGATTTCTGGCACTCTATTCATTCAAGAATTCCATAGGTAAGAGTTGGGGATTGAGACCCGAAATTATACACGGGCTGTATACGACGATCGTCCTAACCATACTTACTTATGGTTGTCTTGTTTGGTGGTAGGGGGTTAACAAAAAGATGCTGCTGACAAAATTGAGCTTAGTACAGCGATCGGCTTCAATCCTGATCACCTGAGCATTAAGAAGTACTCCACAGGCAGCCTTGAACGCAATTTTGAATCTCCAACCATTGATTGATTAAATTCCAGGCGGCCAGATGTGCCCTGAGACTCCGGGAAACAAATGCCTTAAAATAGCTGAACTTTGGTCATGCCAGCATCCTAAGTTGAATTTCCTAGTAGGGAATCCTGGACTAGTGGCTCCTTACCTCTGCCAGGTCTGTCAATCTTTACAGACGGGTCTAAGATATATTAATATACAACTCATATATTATCAATATACAACTCATATAAACTCAACAATAACTGTAGCGTTTTTCAATCAGAGATTCTTGCAATCACGAAAGCGGCCGAGATAGTAAAAGCACTTAACTCCGACATCACGGGACCGGTGACTATATATGTCGATAGTTAGGCGGCCCTGA